GAGAGAGAGAGAGAGAGAGAGAGAGAGAGAGAGAGAGAGAGAGAGAGAGAGAGAGAGAGAGAGAGAGAGAGAGAGAGAGAGAGAGAGGAAGGAAAAACAAGAGATACTTAATGAATTACAATCGGAGGGCCTTGAAATACTTGCATCGACTTTACTTCCTGAAAAAGAAACAAAAACAGAAAAACCCTTCCGATTTCACTTCACAAAAAGTTACACATGGAAATTTCTTGCTTCTCATCACTTTCATTCATGTAAAAACAGCTCTTCGCCGTCCTCAAGCCTCCTTTTCCAGTTCACTACCCACTTTGGGTGCCATGCCCCCTTTTTTTTTTTTTTTTTTTTTTTTTAAAAGGATGTCATGTGCCCCTTTTTCAGTTTGTGCTTGAGCATCATCCTTGTGCAGGCCACTCATAGTACCTGCTCTTTCTTGAATTCTCCTTCGAATTTTTTTGTTGCAAGGAGTCGGGCATGCACAAGGATGATGCTTTGGCTAGTATAAAATTTTTTTGTCGATTTTTTTTGTTATAAAGAGAGTCCGGCATGCAAGGTAGTATAGTCTGCGGACATGTAAGGTAGAATAGATAGTCGTAGTCGTCCTTCGGGACATCCCTTAAAATTGGAACGATACAGAGAAGAAGATTAGCATGGCCCCTGCGGAAGGATGACACGCATAAATCGAGAATAGTCGTAGTCTGCGCGCATTCAAGGTCGAATAGTCTACTTCCAGATGCAATTCACCTCCTCTGGCTATTTGCCACCAACAGATCTATAGATAGATGTTTAAGCTTTTTTTTCTTTTTTCTTTTTTACGTGCGAAGTATGCCTACTGACTCACATGACTTGCAGTTACATCTCCATTAGCTGGCGATTTGGATATTGTTCAGTTAAAAAAAAAAAAAAAAAAAAAAATGTTCAGTTGTTCTGATTATGTTTGATTAAGGGCCTCGACACACCACTGTCGAGTCGCAAAAAGTACAAGTGCATGTTCCCGCCGGGTGTGACCAGATGCATCCGTTACTATGAATAGCAACGGATGCATCTTGCCACTTTCTCAGGAAGGTGCACTCGTTCCTTTTCCATTTCCACAGTGGTGTGGCGAGGCCCTAAGAATGACCACTCCCACTTTAGCAACGGATATTTCAGTTTTCGATGAAGTTTCAATTTTCAACTTAGTTGACGACTTTGGCGAGGTCGAGGATTGGATTTAATTCCTGAATCTGGACTTGTGTTGTGGAAAGATGCAGAAAATTGCGATTGAGCTGCTTCTCTGCATCTCTGCCAAAAACACATCCAGATTCAGGAATTGAATCCAATTCTCTTTGCGAATGGGACCTGACCCCGAATCTCATTTCTTCCATTCTCATTCTGTCAGGGCTGCCATAGCTCCAAGTGGTGGAACAATGTTTTTTTCTTTTTTTTTTTTCTTTTTTTTTTTGAAAAATTGCGATTTCATGAAGGAACAAGACGGGGCCGGGGTCCCCACAATTCAACCCGGCAATGTTTTATTTCAATTTGATGTCTGATAAAGGATGACTTCTGTGCTCCTTCACGGCAAATCAGTTAGCTGGCACTCAGAAAATGTACTCCAACAGAATTCATGCAGGGGGAGGGGAAGGGGGAGGGGAAGGGGGAGGGAGGATATTGCGAGGTTGAAACGGGGAACCCGAAGAAGAGAGGGTAAGATGGAACCACGGAGGGGGGGTTAAAGGAGAGAAGGAGAGGGAAACGACACGTGGAGAGGTGGTAGAACGATGGGTTGGGGAAGCAGCGACATAGGATATGCCGTGATCTCTCGAACACAACGCATCCGAATCATGAATGTATACAAGCTGCCTTCCAGGTCCAATACAGTCACATGATGAGGGCGCCTTGTGCTCCAAGGAAGAAGATCAGTAATTAAGGGATGATACAAGAAACACCAGGCGTCCTCATCACGTCTGTATCGGACCTGGAAGGCAGCTTGTGTACATTCGTGAGGGCCGCGGGAACAGGATGAGCTAAGGTAGCAGATAGGGCGGAAAACGGTTCTTGCTCTTCTGGAAGAGGACTCAAGGAGGAGGAGCAAGTAGAGGAGATTCATCATCCTTATTAATTAATAATTATTTATTTTTTTCTCGTCCATGATACTGTCTTCTTTCTTGGTGACAGAGATGAGAGAAACCATGACGACGATGATAACGAGCTAAACTTATCCGTTAAGATTTAATTAATTTAATTTAATTAATTTAATTAATTAACTAATGATTAGTTAATTATAGTTACTTGAGTACTCGAAAAAAAAAAAAGTTTCAAAAAAATAATCGGGGAATTAAAAAAAACGTCGATTTACGGCCAGCTGATAAAAACTGGGCAACCCTGTAGAGGAGCCACGTGGACATCCCCCCTTATCCAAACTCCGTTTAATTTGCCACCGGAAAGCAAATTAAAATAATATATCGTCAAACAGAGCTGCTGCCCAGTAAACCGTAGGGGCAGAGAGGGAGGGAGGGAGAAGAGGACAACAAACGAACGAGGGGCTGTGACATAACAGTTTGTCACAGCCCCTCGTTTGTTGTCCTCTTCCTCTTCTCCCTCTTCTCCCTCTCTGCCCCTACGGTTTACCGGGCAGCAGCTCTGTTTGACGATATATATTGTCACAAAAATTCAGAGCGCAAATGCGAAAAAAAGAAAGAAAAAGGAAGAAAAACAGGAAAAAATGAATTCAGTTTTTTATCTTCTTCCTTATAACTCCCCCTGTTCAGAACCTCTTGCGTACAAGGCCGCCCACGTGGATGTTGGTTGAGCGGCGGCTGCCCCCACCTCCGTGTGTCATATCGACCCACTTGCACACAGCCAAAAGGCAACGAGGCAAAGAAAAGAGGAAGGGAACAGCCAAATAATACAGAACAGGGGGCAACAAAACAGATCCAAGATGACAAGTCCCACATGCAAGCACCGCCCCAGTCCTACACAGGCCAAACGACGGGACAAGCCCAACCAGGATGTCAAGCATTCTTGTCTGCAAAAAAAATCAAAAAGAACCCGGAGGGCAGGTATAAAAACAATCCTGGACGATGATTCCCACATGCAAGCACCGCCCCGCTTTCCATATTTATATACATTTATATATATATTTATATACATATTTTTAGATATATATATATTGTCACATTGTGAATCAGAGCGCAAAAAAGGGAAAAGAAAAAAGGAAAAGGAAAAAAGGGGAAGGGGAGGAGGTAAGGAAAGCTCCACCTGTTCATAACCTCTTACGTACAAGGCCAGCCTAAACATGATTAAAATATTTAAACTCCCCTTTTATCAGATCAGACAAGGTCGGTCGGGAGCGGGAGGAACTGAAAGTTCGCCTTGATCTTTTTTTTCTCTTTTTCTGTTTTTTTTAACTGGCAAACCAAATGAGAGAAAAGTTCGCCTTGATCGTTTCAGCCCAACCAAAAAAAAAAAAAACGTTTTCTTTTCCTATTGGCGGGCGGAGAAGAAATAGCGAAAGAAAAGAGCATAATCATACTCCACATCAAAGAAATTTATTTATTCATTTTTTTTCAATTTTTTTTTTGGTCAACCAATCCAACCAAAATTCTCCTCGATGATTGATACATCGGGATCGGTCGATCAATCGATTAATAGATCAACCGACCAATTCCTTTTCTTTTTTCTTTTTTTTTTTTACTTTTACCAATTGATCAGCAGTGAACTCTGAGGCCATCCATATTCACACTCAGACTTTCCTGAACGTATGTGCCGCTTTTCCGGCCCACTCGTGGATGTATCTGAACGCAATTACGTTCTCAGATGAAAAAGTCCGACTTTGAGTATCTGCCCTAAAATCGTTTTGCTATGACACAAATCATTCTCACGTTGGAGGATTGGCGAGTTACGCCGTACTCGTCCTATCCCGACTGAATATAGGCGCAGTTGGCGGTCAGATGCATTCACGAAATTCCTCCCTACCCGTAGTCAGAGTATACGGCCGGGATTATTACAAAAAGCGTCAAGTTTGGTCCCGCACTAACCTGTGCTACTTTTTTTTAATCCTCCCAAAGAAAAAGGAAAAGAAAAAAAAAAGAAAAAGAAACAAAAACTTCGACCCCTGGGGCGAGGTCCCACACCTGAATCTGAACTTGTTTGTGCAAAGGTGCAGAATGTCGAGATTGAACTGCTTTTCCGAATCTCTGCTTAAAACACGTCCAGATTCAGGATATTTATCCAACCCTCTTTGCTAGTGGGACCTCACCCCTGCTGTTGGGGCGGTGAAGAACATGCAATCCCTATATAATATATATTGTCACATTGTGAATCAGAGCGCAAAAAAGGGAAAAGAAAAAAGGAAAAGGAAAAAAGGGGAAGGGGAAGGAGGTAAGGAAAGCTCCACCTGTTCATAACCTCTTACGTACAAGGCCAGCCACGTGGATGACAGGTTGAGTGCTGGCTGCCCCCATCCCCGTGTGTCACAAGGACCCACTTGCACGCAGCCAAAAGGCAAAGAGGAGGAGGAAACCAAACCTGACAGGGAAAGAAAGATAGGGAAAGAAAGATAATCCAATTATCACAAAGCAAATAACACATCCCACAGATCAACGTATCTTTT